TCAGTCATAAGACCCGGTCCACAGGAGAGAGATATTTCCCCAGGATCCCGGGTAACTCCATCCCCTCCCGTGGTGTCTGATTCTCAAGCCTGGGCCTCCTCAGAACCTGCTATAAATATTCAGGACCAGAGAAACTTATTTTCCATGGATGGGGACCATCTCCAAGTTCAAGTCTCAGTAGGCCTGTGGATCCCCTCGGCCTGCATGATGCATCTGTGAGCGGGGTCACGGGCTCAGCTGTAGGTTTGTTAAGCAGCAGTTACTGGATGGAAAGGGCTGACCACCATAGGCAGACCCTAAGGTGCGGATACTCAGCCATCAGGCCAGTGCCCCTTCATCCGTCTGTTAAGGAAGCCCCTTAAGAGAGACTCTGCAGTAGTTGCTGCTTATACATATATAGTCAGGGAGTATCTCAAGTTTCCCTGGATCTTGGGTGGGGAGGTGAAAGGGGTACAGATTTCTGCATCTGTTGACTTCTAACTTGTGCTTTGGCCACAGTGCACACAAGTGCTTCCCTGCTGAGTGGAGCCTCTGACATCCACAGGTGTGATTATGGCTCATCTTTCTCACCCTGCAGCACACACAGGCTCTTTTCTCCATGTGTGCACTGGGGCCTTACCCACACTCCCTTCAAACAAAAGGTTTCTCCCCTGAGTGCATCTTCTGATGTCTCTGGAGATTTGACTTACTCCGAAAACCTCGCCCACAATGACTACACACAAAAGGTTCCTCCCCTGAGTGTTTCCACTGGTGGTAGATGAGGGATGATTTACGGATAAAGCCTTGCCCACACTCCTTGCACACAAATGGCCTCTTCTCTGAGTGTGTCTTTTCGTGGTCCATCAGGCTTGATTTCTGGATAAAGGCTCGCCCACACTCCTTGCAAATAAAAGGCTTCTCCCCTGAGTGTTTCCTTAGGTGGGAGGTAAGAGATGATTTCTTGACAAAGCCTCGCCCACACTCCTTGCACACAAAAGGCTTCTCCCCTGAGTGTGTCTTCTGATGGCTTAGGAGATTTGACTTCAAGCTAAAACTTCGCCCACAATTCATGCACACAAAAGGTTTCTCCCCTAAGTGTTTCCACTCATGGGTAGTGAGGGATGATTTGTGGGTAAAGCCTTTCCCACAGTGCTTGCACAGAAATGGCTTCTTTCCCGAGTGTCTCCACTGGTGGGCGATAAGGGATCTTTTTCGGATAAAGGCTTGTCCACACTCCTTGCAAACAAACTTCTTCTCACCTGAGTGTGTCTTCAGATGACTTAGGAGATATGACTTCAAGCTGAAATTTCGCCCACAGTACCTGCACACAAAAGGCTTCACCCCCAAGTGTTTATTCTGATGATTTAGGAGACCAGACTTCCACCTAAAACTCTGCCCACAATACGTGCACACAAAAGGCTTCTCTCCTGAGTGTTTATACTGGTGGTAGATGAGGGATGATTTATGGGAAAAGCCTTGCCCACACTCCTTGCACACAAAGGGTTTCTCTCCTGAGTGTGTCCTCTGGTGGCGGATTAGGTTTAATTTTTGGATAAAGCCTTGCCCACACTCCTTGCACACAAAAGGCTTTTCCCCTGAGTGTGTCCTCTGATGGGGTATCAGGGCTGATCTTTTGGTAAACCTTTTCCCACACTCTTTGCACACAAAAGGCTTTTCCCCTGAGTGTTTCCACTGGTGGGACATCAGGGTTGATTTTTGGGTAAAGCCTTGCCCACACTCCTTGCACACAAAAGGCTTTTCCCCTGAGTGTGTCCTCTGGTGGCTGTTCAGGTGTGATTTTTGGGTAAACCTTTTACCACACTCCTTACACACAAAAGGCTTCTCTCCTGAGTGTTTATATTGGTGGGAGATGAGAGATGATTTTTGGATAAAGCCTTGCCCACACTCCTTGCACACAAAAGGCTTCTCCACTGAATGTGTCCACCAGTGGCGTATCAGGTTTGAATTTTGGGTAAAGCCTTGTCCACAATCCTTGCACAAAAATGGCTTGTTACCTGAGTGTTTCCACTGGTGGGACTTCAGGGCTGACTTTCGGGCAAAGCCTTGTCCACACTCCTTGCACACAAAACGCTTCTCCCTTGCGTGTGACCTGTGTGTTATGAGGCTTGACTTATCACTGAAGTCTGGCCCAGTCTCCCTGCACATGTAGGGAGTCCCACCTGAGTGTGTTTTCTGGTGCAACAATAGTGCTGACTTATCAGTAAAGTCCTGTCCACACTTCCTGCATGTTAAAAGATTCTGTCCATAATGTGCTTTTCTGTGTTTGAGTACCTCTGGCTTCTGGCTAAAGCCTTGCCCATACTCTGCATGTATGAATGTTTCCCATCCTGAAGTTTGTATTCCTTTTAATACTTTGCCTGTTTCTTTAGGATTTCCCCTCTGGGCTTGGCTGCCCTCTATTTCCACCACTGTGTTCCTTTGCCCCAGACTTACTGCCTGGGTGGGGTGTGGGCTGGCACATGCCCCCGAGGTCTGACTCCTCCTCCTCAACAAGGTCTGGGAGTTTTCTTCTCTCTCTTGACCTGCTCCCCTATCACTCTGGTCGCTCTGCTGAGAGAGTTCTTCCTGCTCTTGTTCCTGGTGCTCCAGGCCAGGACTCCTCGGCTGTGGGTAATTTGTTGCATGTGCACCTGCAGACATCTGAGCAGAATGGTCGTGAATCGTGTGCCTGATGAGGATATGCTGACTGCAGGCCAGGGGGCAGCAGGGACAGAGATGCATTCCTGGCTTTGCTTCTGCTGGGGAGAAAAAGTGCCCCATCAGGATGGTCACAGGCGAGGCAGCCTGGGCCACCACACAACACAAGTGCCACCCCCTCCCACAAGGGTTACCCTCCCAGGCCCTGCTCTTCCATCTAGTTGGAAGCCTGTATCTTCTCTTGGAGAGAGGAATGTACACACTACAGAAGGATTTTCTCAAGTCTGCTTCTAAACTTCAGCTAGAGCATCAACTAAGTTATAAATGCTCCTGAGCCATAGAGGGAAACCTTGCTGTTTGTGACAGCATGGATGGACCCTGAGGGTGTTATGCTGAGTCAAGTAAGGCCAAGAAATCCAGCACGACAGCACCTGTATGTGGGATCTGAGAAACAGAAACAGTAACAGATGGACAGGTAAGGAATCTAAAGGACACCAAAGGTGGGGGTGGGCCTGGGTGCAGGCAAAACAAGGTGAGGGGATGAAGCTGTGCAAATTTCCAGCTATAACATAACTAAGTCACGGGAAGTAGTGTACAGCACAGGGAAGATGATGTAATTAATTTGTGAGATGATACATGGCAAGTAGAGTTAACACAGGGATCATTTTCTAATGCATAAAAACAAATCACTATGAACTGAAATTAATCACACCTGAAAATAATAGGATACTGTATGTCAACGACACTTTGATAAAATAGTACATCAGACATCACCTTCAGAGTACACACTCCAGTGGCTCCCCAACATATGGACTATATCTTTGCATGGATTGAGGGGCCCTATACCCCACTTCCTACCCAGTCCTCAGTTGCTTCCACTTTGAGTCCCTCACTCCAGCTGACACTGACTGAGGTCAGTCCTGTTCTTTGAAAAAGGCTACTTCCTGACTGGGCAGAAGGAACACCAAATACAGCCATACAAATGTGCTTGGCTTAATGGTTTTCTTAGTCTGAGTTCAGCTCAAAATTCACTTGGACAGAGAGGCCTCTGGTGTCCATCCTGTGTGGCCGCTTCACCCACTCCCAGCCCACTGTCCCAACAACACCTCCACGTGTTTTTCCAAGAGTCTTCACAGCACTTCTTCCCTGAAATCACAAAGGTGGTTGGGGTACTGTCCATGTTCTGTAGGTGTCCATACACCTACCACCACCGTATGTAAGCAAGGGGAAGGAGGGATAGGACAGGCTCCTTCAGTGCTGTATTCCCAGTCTGAGAACTGGGGTTGGCATGGAATAAAAAGTGAAATGATGACTCATGAATATGTTCTATGAATAACCATATATTTAGTCTTTGAACTTTTAAAAGTGAAAAGTTAAGAGGATTGACAAGAGTTACCCTTGCTGAGAAAGCTGGGAAACATTTGAGTAGACTTGCTTTTCATTCCATAAGCTGCTCACCATTAAGTGCCAATGTAAAAAAAATACTATGTACACACACAAAATGAATACAAAAACCACTTGTAGAAAGGAAATATTTACATAGGCTATTTTGACTACAGGGAAACAAAACATTCATGTCCAGAAAGGAAAACCTGCAGTGAAAGGAGAAGATCCATGCTGACTGAATTCACTCCTGGTGCGTTGGGCCACCAGGGTAGTGACAGTCCCAAGGAATCACCTGGGACCCCTGAAAGTTGTGACTGTCTGAGTGCTCGCATGTCACCTGGAGAGCTTCCCGTCACTCTCACTGGCTTCTGACCAGAGGATGCAGCCCTGGCTGTATCTGCCATCGCCAAGAAGAAAGACAGGATCTGTTGGCAGCCTTATTTCTGCACCAGCTGAGAGACCCCAGCGTCCCGAGTGCACCACACAGGCCTTGAGCCCCTGCCAGGACCCTCCTCTACCAGTCACAGGCCTGCCATGGACATCCTTTTTTCTAAGAAATCTGTGGTCAAAATATGAATGCTGGTGTCACATTTCGATACTCACACTCTGAGAACCTGGTGGCGGATAGAAACCCTCTACTTAAAATTCACTGAGAGATAAATCCATGAGCAACTGCTTTTGGGTGGGGAAGGAGTTGTCATGGATGGGAAAGTACAGAGCAAGGAATGAGAAAGACGTTCACAGTCAGAATGAGCTCCCTCCATGCAGACCACAGGGCAGAGGCATGTCAAGAATGTGCTGGTGTTGGCAGAAAAGGCCTGATATGATTCCACTCACATCAAGGGCCAGAACCGGCCAAGTGCTGCCCATTGGGCAGAACCACAGCAGCAGTGGCCTTGGGGGATGGAGAGGCAGGAAACAACACAGAAGGGGCCTGAGGGGGTGTGCTGGGGAAGTGCAGGACTCAGGCACACTGGTGTACACAAGAGAGAACACACTGCCTGTCACTGCAGATCTGCACATGGTATTTGGACTCTACCTACGAAGACCTACCTGCATGGAAACATCTGAATATTGGTTAGATGGACTCC